GCAGAGCCAGCCCTTTGTGATGATCAGGCAGCTCTATTCACCTCTTTAGTTTATTTTCCCCTAGGATAGGACAATAGAAATGAGAAAGTCAATTTTCTTTTCATTCCAAGCAGATTGAATTTTGCTAAACTAAAATGGGCTCCGGATAAGTAAAGGTCAATCCAGCCTTGGATCTTTTTCTTCATTAACAAAAAATCAACACCAGCACTGTTATTTCCAGGTCTTTTACCAGATAGAAATACTTGGAGATGCCATCATCAGATCTCAGTGAGACCTACATTAGTTTACCAAAATCATGAACAGCCAAGGCAAGAGCCAATTATAGTCATGTCAATGCATAGATATTTTTTCAATAAAAGCATAGTAAATACATTCCACCTTGTTTGATAGAATACTATGAAGATTAGACAAACTGGGCTTTCATAAAGAAGAGTCGGACCAATTCTGTTGCCCAGGTCTGTTTATGTAATTGTTCCATGTCCTTCAGATCAAGGAGTATCAATAAAGAAAGTCAGGTATCCTCTGAGATGTGCTATACCACTTAGCCCCTTACCAGAGTCCTATGTTGATATCTTTTTATCAACAACTGTTTGCTAAAGTGAATAGAATTTGGCAGCTCATCGGATAGGAGGAAGCTAAAGTTAATTTTAAGCTTGTGTTTTCCATAGCTGAAATATTAGTGGTAGGAGACATATGGGAAAGTTTGCATTTAGCCATAAAAGGACCCCAAAACTTGGTTTTAACTAGTTGTCTTCATTGATAATTGCCATTATGACTGCAAATTAAAGAAGAAAAACATAAAAGAGATGACAGGAAACTAAATTGTGAGATGTCATTGTAACATCAGCTCCTTTTGTGAAGATGTCATTATAACGTAAACATGATCTCCATATTTAAGGAAATTTGGAGGAAAAACTGTTGCATACTAAAATTATGAACTAAGCATTGAAAATAAAATTATGAACTAAAAATCTGAGAGTGCAATCTGATGGGGGAATTAAGGTAGAAATAAAGACCAACAGTTATATAGACTAATGGATAAACACTGTTATCAATTTTTCCCAGCCCCTATGAAACTATTTTCAAAGAGGATAAAACGATGTTTTAGGATCATGCATCATCCAGTGTCAAGCTGGGAAAATAGAAACTACATTCTGTTCTGACAGTGAATTTAACAGAAGAAATGGGCAAGGTGATCACAAGGTCTTCAAGGAAGACAAAGCTACACTCTTCAGAAAAGAAGGCCACATCTTCCAGGAAGGGAGGCTCAGAGACCTAGGGGATTGTGATTCTCAGTGTCTCCACTTCAACTTTGAGGCTCTTAGTTTGTCCAAATTAATGCCATTATGACTTAAAATATGAATTCAACTTGGTTTGTAATTTTACAGCATGCATCACATTAAATTAGGGGTATGATTTCCTGTTGAGAGCCACAGCCAAAGGGGCCCCAGCAAACTTCCAGCTGCCAGCAAACTTCCAGCTGCCGGCTGATGGTTGGCTCACAGTGGCCCCAGCAACATCTAGCTGATTGGCTCCTCTGCGGTGATGCTCATTGGGCTGTTTCCCTGCCCTTTCAGACCACGGAGCTGCTCATTGGGGGACTTCTTTGGCTCCGCCCATGCAACCCAGCCAATCAGCCTCAAGAGGAGGAGGATTGTGGGAGGTGGAAAGGCTGGTGTGGGGGTGAGAGGCTTGTGGGAAGCCGGTGGTGGCAGTTGGGCTCTGAGGATTTTTTCCTGAGGAGCTGTTTTGTTTGGTGTGTGTGGTTCTAAAAATAAAGTTCATTTCTTTTGACAAGTGGCTCCTGAATTGTGCCCAGCCAGACTGCAGCAATTTCCAATGAGGCAAAACCTACAACTGTAAGAAATAAAAACCTGTTTTAGGGCCTGTGTGTGTGTGTGTATGTGTGCATGCACATGTATGTTTCTGGATTCTTGTACCAATTAACAAATTTTGAACTTATAAGCAACCATATATATTTACCTTAGGTTATTTCTCTTATTTTTTAGAAAATTGTTTTTATTCTAGAATGTGGTACAATATTATAAATAATTACACATAAAGACACTAAACAGGAAAACCTGTGAAGCAGTAGGAGTTTGTTGAAGTTAGAGCAGGTTTTCTTTTTTCTAGAGATATTCATCATTTATGAGAAAATAGTGTATTGGAACCTAAATGCACTAAAGCATCCAATTTGTTTGCAAATTGAGTGGAGTCTGAGAATTTCTCACTTGAATACCTCACTATTTTATCATCAGACTAACCCCGGAGTTGGTATAATATTTTCATATAAATAGTAGTTCAATTCTCTTTATGAGGCAAGTAAATGGAATCAAGAAGTAAAAGAAATCAGATACATTACTATGTGTGTTAATTGCTGTATGTTACCCATATTCTCTGGAACCCAGAACAAGCAGGATTGCTTTGAGAAGGGGGTGAAGCAAAGTAATAGAAGAGAAGCAAAAATGGAGGAAAAACTAGATTTTGAGAACTAAACTACAAACTGATAGCATATAGTCTGCTTTTCCTGCAAGTTCTTGTTGATAAACAAGCACTCTAGGAATTGCTAAGTAATCTTAAACAATCAGGAGGTGGGTGGGGAGAACTTCCACAATCTAGATTCCCTTTGGCTTTGCTGTAGCTGCCCATTCTCAGCATTTGCTTTTGCTATTGCATGGATTTATGAAATGACTCTTAAATGTGATAGCACAGTCCCTGCTTTGATGGAGCTTATAGAGCAATAAAGGAGATCAAAATAATCAAATGCTCTTAGTAATAAATGTATATTCATAATGGTTAGGTATAATATGATAAGGAAGTTCAAGTTGTTGTGGGAGCTTATAAAGGGAAATTGCACCCAGGCTAGGGAGTCAGGAAGGCTCACCATCAATCTAGAAGGAGCACTTCAAATGAGCCATCCCAATAATTACCTACTGCCCAAAGTGATCAGAAAAAAGGCTCCTGCCGAAAGGCAGCTCCTGGCCAAGAAGGAAGCCAGCTTTCCAGGGGTGCATCTGCAGGGACTTGCAGCCCACAGATTGACTTTCTCTTCTTGCATACAGATGCTGTGCAGGGCAGGAAATGATACTGTATCTTTGTAGCAAATAATTTACTGACCTATATATGACTTTTGGCAGAATAGGCAGTATTTTCCACATTGCTCAGCCTACACTGAGAAAAGTAGAATTTAACATGGTGATGGATTCTTAAAATCAAAGGCAAGGGAAGACACAGTGCTTGAATGTGTTGAATGCAGGAATATAGCAGAGCAGGTTTGGTGCAATGGCGAAGGCCATCTGACATGTTTTATAGCGGATCCTTCCTTCCCCTTGTGGTGAACTGCAGAAACTTTGGCTCATTTCAGGAAAAATGCCCTCTTTGCATGGAAGTGACATTTGAAAAATTTAAAGAGAGAGAGAGAGATAAAAAGAGAAAGAGAGAGAGAGAGAAAGCTTTTCTGTTTTGGAGTATGATCTACAAATATATTTAGATTTTAGGCATAAACACAAAGGCAACAGAAACGATCATTCTGCTGAAAGGTTTATTTTTCTTTTCTTGTGTTTATACGTCTTCCTCCATAAACAAATGTTATAAAAGACAAACCCTCTGTTACTAGGGAAATATCCCCATTTTGCATGATTTGTTTACTGCTCCCACTATTGTGTCCTGGCATGTGATGTATTCCTGGTGACATGGTTAGGACAGTGCTTTTGTTCATCTGTCAGACAGAGACACATCACTTGGAAACTGGCTTCATTTATCCTCCATTTCCCCTGGACAGAATCTGGAATAGTGTATTGGCCACATTCAATATTTAGCATATTAACAGAGGTGCCAACATAAAGACTGGATTTTAGGGGGAAAAATGTTGACATGTTGACCCCAAAATAAAACTAATACTATTTAAAGAACCACATGCATAAGAAGAAGAATTGCTCTGAGGGAAAATGAAAAGTTCAACGTTTTCTAGTTATTCAAGATTTTTGCTGAGCACTGTAGCTACTCACAAAATAAGAGGAATCCTTGAGTTCCCAAAGCATCCCTTTCAAATTTCCCTTGAGTAGCAGGCTGAACTGGACTTTGAAGGAACTTGACTTGTAAACACTAAACCACTTCACCATCCTGAGTCTGGGACTAGCCCCTTATTCCTTAACATCATGCAAAGTGACAAACATCCAAAGAAGAAGGTAGAAAAAGGAGGATGAAAGAGTAACTTTGTATCAGAGAAACCTCACAAATCCCCAGAAAAGAAACTTTAAACCCAGGTGAGAAAAACTCCAAAATTCCTGACCAGTATTCCTCAAGGACCTTCCAGTCATCAATAACATGGAAAGTCTAAAAGCCTGACCAGCCAAGAGGACCCTAAGGAGAAGTGACAAGCAAACACAATCTGTTGTCCAGAATGGGATCCAGGAACAGAGAAAAGACATTAAGTAAAAACTAAGGAAATTTGAATAAAGTTATGGTATTTGATTAATAACTGGGTATCAATGCGTGTTCATTAGTTGCATCAAATGCCCTAACTAAAGTAAGAGGTTAGTAAGAGGGGACACAGGGTGTGGGGCATACAGAAACTTTCTGACTATGTTTGCAATTTTTCTGCAAGTCAAAAACCATTCAAAAAACATAAATTGTATTTTTTACTATTTTATATTATTGTTTATTGTTGTTGTTGTTGTTGTTGTTATCATTATTATTATTGGTAGCTGATTGCCCTGTGCAAAGTGGAAGAGAATTGAGCAGATTGCACTACCACCTGTGGCCCATTGAGGTCTCCCAGCAAAGTCCCATGTATATGCACATAGTACCCCATTAGCATGAGTGGTGCAAGTGTTCATGGGTAGCCCTGGAAAGATGCCTTCCAATTCCCTTCCTAGGAATCAGTCTATTGGGGCTAGTCTTCCGCCTGTGATGGCTCTTGACAGAGATGAAATTAGTGAACACATTAAATACAATCAAAGGCAGTCCCAGGACTAATAAAGACCTCTGCCCAACCAAGAGAGTGTTGGAGTTTTATTTTCTTTGTTTGGCTGCGGTACTTAAAAACAGTGAAGGAAGTTACTCATCAAAGATTGTACGGCCTTCAGATGGGGTGGCCTCCCCTCTTGAAAGACACCAGGCCTCTGCTGGGAGAGCCAGAGTGAAAGAAGGTCAGGAGCAAGAGAGGGGCCCTCTCAACTTGCCTGCTGCTGCTTACAGAGGATTAGACTGTGCACCCGACGTTCCATCATCTGATCTCTAGTAATGTAGGCCAAGCATCCACAGATCTTCCTGTTGTATCTCCAAGGAAAATTTGGTTTCAGTTAATCCTGTAACTTAAAATAGCAGATCTTAGCATTCCTGTTTCATTATGATTCTCTACAATTTAATCATGCCCTGTATCTACTTAGAGCACCATGTGCTGGAATATGAGGGATACGGAATGTAAGGGGCTTTGGTTCTCCAGAAACATCTGACTTCCTCTGAATTCCGTTAGCTGCTTTTGGCCCTGCTATGGTTTGTATCTTGAATGTCTCCCAAAGGCCTGGGTACTGAAGGCTTGGTCCCCAGCTTGGTGCTATTGGGAAGTGGTGAAACCTTTTAAGAGATGAGTCTAGTGAGAAGTCTGTAGGTCATTGGAGGTATGCCTTGAGGGGGACTGTGGGACCCCAGCTCCTCTCATTCTTTTTCTTCCTGTCCATGACTTGAGTAGTTTTGCTCTGCCATGTACCCCTGCCATGATGTGCTGTCCTGACTAAAGGCCCAAAGAAATGGACTGGAATCCCTATACTGTGAGCCCTGATAAACCTTTTCTCTTTATAAGTTGATTATCTAATATTTTCTTACAGAAAAGAAAGATGACTGTACCCAGCAGTGAATAAAATGAAATTGCCATAGAATGAAAGGCAACTCTGTGTTCTGTGAGCACTCGAGACTCTATCTGGGGTTGTTTCTTTTAATATGGGAATTTTGGATCCCCTTGCACCATTACCAGCTCAACACCCACTCCACCCCTCTTGTGCAGCAGTCTGACTTGGCATGTGTCATAGTCTATTTGGGCTGAAATAACAAACTGTGTGTGCGGCTTAGTTAACAGTCATTTATCTTACATTTCTGGAGCCTGAAAGTCCAAAATCAAAATGCCTTCAGGGTAAATATCTGGTGAGGGCTGTCTTCCTGGCTTGCAGACAACAGCTTTATCACTGTGCCTTCACAGGGTTTTTCCTCTGAGCCTGCAGAGAGAAAGTGGGGGTAGGGAGAGGAAAGGAAGAAAGGCAGGGAGGGAGGGAAAGAGAAAGAAAGAGATCTGAAATCTCTGCCTCTTATATCAACTCCGTGGAATGCAGAGTTATTTAACCTTTTTTACTCTTATTTAACCCTTATTAACCTTATTTATCTCCTTAAAGGACCTGTGTTAGTCAGCTTTCCATTCCTCTAACAAAGTACCTGACATAATAATCTTATAAAGAGAAAAGGTTTATTTTGGCTCATAGTTTTAGAGGTTCCAGTCCATGATTAACTGTCCCCATAGCTTTAGGCCTCTGACAAGGCAGCACATGATGTTGGGAGCACATGGTAGAGCAAAAACCCTCACCTCATGAGAAAGAAGCAAAAGAGAAAGACACCAGGGTTCCACAATCCCTTTCAAGACATTCTCCCAATAAACTAAGGACCCACCATCAGGCCCCATCTTCTAAAGGTACAATCACATCCCAACAGTGCCACCATGAGGACCAAGCATTTAATACAGGGACCTTTGGGGGACACTTTATCCAAACCACAGCAGGCCCTGTCTCCACATGCAGCCACATTGTGGGTTAAGCCTTCAACACATGAGTTTTGAAGAAACACATTTCAGTCCATAACCATAGGGACATCATATTTAAATGATGTCAGACTAAGCCATTTGTTTTAGAGTCAGAAAAGCTGAGTTCAGAACCACGCTAACTTGAGGGTTCACAGAATGTAGATCACTTACCTTCTCCAATCTCAGTTTCCTAATATAAAAAAAGGGGAATAAGAATAATACCTATAAATCAGAGTCGTCACAAAGGTAAAATGTGGCAAAGCATGTGAAAATACACCATAATTGTTCAAACTTACATAATTACCCTCAATTATAATAAATTATGGGCCCACTGGTTCTGGAATTAAGTGCTACACAAGTAAAGGATTCGGAAGAGGGAGCCAGGGGCTCACTGGTGTCTCAATCCACAGAGCAACAGGGGCAAGCTCTGGGCATCTGGGGTGAGATCAGCTGTGCCCTTTCTGCATCTCTGCAGCCCCAGAAGACCACAGCTGCTGCCTCTTTCTGAACAGGTTCATAATACAGAGCTCAATCAGGTACAATCTGCACCCTGGGGCATTCGCTGCAGCTAATGGAAGGAATTTAGGAAATTAGATTGAGGCAGTTGAGTGCTGCTAATTGCCTGGATCTAAGCTTCTAAAAACTGAGACTTCCACTTAAAGAATTTATCAGCAAATGGATTGGGGACCCCAGTGGGCAAGATTTTTGCATTGTACACGTGCATTTCGATAATGAAAGACAGAATTTCTTTGACTCAAGCAACAGTTCTTTATCCCTAACGTCATGCTGTCATCCACAGCAAAGCCAAGTCCTGGCCCCAGGCCTTCTGGTTTACAACTATTCAATGTATCTAACAGAAAGTATTGAGCAGCAACTACGCTGGGTTCCAAGAAAAGAGAAGGAAACAGGGCCAGATATTTTTTCCTGCCATCCTGCCAGAGCTTCCACCCTGGGAAGAGATAGACATTAGGCAATTGCACACATTTTTAAAAAATGAAATTATTAGGGGTGGGGATATAGCTCAGTTGGTAAAGTGCTTGCCTTACATGTGCAAGGCCCTGGGTCCAATCCCCAGCACACAATAAGAAAATAAATAATAAGATTATAACTCTGAGTTACCTGGTGTCGGAGAAGTCAACATGAGGAACTATGAGGACATCTGTGATGCATAGGCAGGACCTAGTGCAGGAGTGCCAGGTAACCAGCAGGTGACGGGAAAGGGAGAGGGAGGTGGATCAGGTAGAAGGTGCCATGCAGGAGGGAGGGTACAGAGCAGAGTGGTGTGGTTGGATTGCTGGAAGAGAACGCAGAGCATGGTATAAGATGAGGCTGGAACACAGGCAATAGAAAAAATTTACAGCCCTTATAAATTGTGTTGATTTTTTTTTCCCTAGGAGCAATGAGGAACTATTAAAATGCTTTAAGGTGGGGAAAGGAAAATAACACGATCAATCATATTTGCTATTTCAGATAGATCCCTTTGGTTATAATATGGATGGATAACTGTTTTGATTGGAGGCGGCATCGATTGGCAAGATCTACAGGGAAATGCAAATCAAAATTACACTCAGGTTCCACCTCATCTCAGCCAGATTGGCAATCGTCAAGAATGTAGAAAGAGGGGCTGGGGTTGTGGCTCAGTGGTAGAGCGCTTGCCTAGCACATGTGAGGCATTGGTTTGATCCTCAGCACCACATAAAAATAAGTTAATAAATAAGATAAAGGTATTATGAACATCTACAACTAAAAAAAAAATTTAAGGAAAGATGGGTAGAAGGACTGGTTAAAGGAAGAGAGAAGACCGGGAGGAAATAAATTATATTCCATGCTTTTATAATTATGTCAAAATGAATCCCATTGTTATGTAGAACTAAAAAAAACAATAAAAAAGAATACAAATAATAATAAATGCTGTTGAGAATGCAGGGAAAAGTGAACCCTACACTGTGGTAGAAATGTAAATTAGCACAGCTACTATGGAAATCAGCATGGAGGTTACTCAGGAAACTAAAAATAGGTCTACCGTATGATCCAACCATACCACTCCTCAGTATATACCCGAAGGAATTGAAGTCAGCTTTCTATAGAGATACCTACACACTCATTTTTACCAAAGTAACAATTCTCAATAGCCAAGTTATGGAATCAGACTATTTACCCATCAACAGATGAACACATAAAAAAAAAAGATGTGGTATATATCCACAATGGAGGATTATTCAATCATAAAGAAGAATGAAGTCATGTATTTTTAAGAAAATGAATAGAAGTGGAGATGATTGTGTTAAGCCAAAATAAGACTCAGTAAAACAAGTATATACTATGTTTTCTTTTATGCTTGTAATCTAGAAAGAAAGTAGAAGGGAGACTTAGAGAAGAAGAAGGGGATTGGGGGAGAGAAGAATGGAATGTAAGGAGGGTTATAGGATGGAGATGATTGAAGTATGTTGTATGCATGTACAAATATGCCACATGAAACCCATTATTCTGTATAATTAATAAGCACTAATAAAAATAAGTGAAAATAGATTGGCAAGCTCTACATTCAGATACTCTGGCGGCTGTTCTGACCAAACCCCAGTGGTGGCCTGAACTAAGGTGTTGTTGGTGGAGATTCATTCACTCATTAAATATTTACAGAGTTCTTCCATATGCCAGGCTCAGTGCCAGGAACTTTGAAATGGACAGAAGGAGATAGGTTTGAGCCATAGTAAGATATAAAATACACATGATGAATTGGACATGGAGTGCAGCAAGAGGGCGCTGTTGAGGAAGATTTCTAAGTTTCTGCCTCATCAAATACAAAATAGAGAGTGCAGCAGGTGGGTTGCTTGGGGGAAGAAGATTGATCATGTGGACCTGGACACTGAGTTTATATAACTTTGAAAGATCCCAAGGAGATATCAAGGGGTCATCAAGTTAAAAGAGTCTAGCTCCCAGAGGCGGAGTCAGGGGTCACTGGCATAACTATGGCAGGTGAAGCTCTGGATGAAATTCTTTAGGGCAGGTGCAAATTGTGGGGAAAGACCAAGCCTGGGACTGACCCTAAAATGACAATCAAAACTTTGTGGCTGAGGTTAGACGATCAACCTGGAAAAGAGTTTAAAAGAATAAAATAAAAACACAGCTAGTAAGAGAGAAAAAAGAAAAACTAGAGCTATTTGGGACCATGGAATTGGTCAGTAGCACAAAATTCTGCCGGTGAATCAAGGTAAAGGGGGAATGAGAAATATCCATTTGTTTTGGAAGGTGCAGATAATTGATTGCATTAGCTAGAAAAATTAGATGGTACAGTTTGGAGAATATTCTCCAGAGACATTTGGCTATGCACAACTTTGCTTTGGCTCTGACATTTCAGGATTTCTACCTCTATATTTTCTGCCTCACAAGAATCACAGGAACTTAGACTTCAGGTTGCCACAGGGGGAGCCCTGGGGCTCAGCTCAGAACAGGTACATTGGCTTTGAAATGCAAGTGAATATATTGCCTTCATCAAGTGATTTCAGGGAATAAGGCCATGGCCTAGTCAGAAAGCTGTTTGGACAGCTTCCAGGAGGGGAAAGAACATTTGACAGCCAACATAAGGCCTTTATCTTTATTAACAAAATTGCTGCTCTGGGTAACGTTTCAATATGAGCAAATGCTTCTGGTAATGCTGTTGCATTCACAAGTAACAAATCCCCTGTTTTACATGGCAAGCAATGGTGACAGATCTGTGTTCCTAAATACTTCACTTCATTAACTGAGGTTGTCTGCCTCCTTAAACATTAACTCACTGAATCTTGCCACTTAGATAAACTGCCTGAGGCAGACGTATATCCCTTATGATCCCATGAAACTTGCTTCTCTATAGCTTCTTTGTGTTTTATTGCATAAGCTTTATGGTGGTAAGAGGTTGCAAAATGTCATTTGTCACTTTTTGGTGGCAGTAATTTAGCATCTAATGAGCAAAACTCACAAACCTCCCAGGAAGTGCAGAAGCTCGGGAGATAATGCAGAGGCACACATGGGAAAGATTTCATAAAGGGAGTAATTGCTGCTCAAAGGTGAAAATCAGGCTGAGAAAGCAGGCTCCAATGGGTGCCTAGGAAGGAAATAGGAGGAAGAAACATTAAAGGCATTGATGGCGGTAGATAAGACTAAAGAGGGGCAGCTGATGCCATGGCCATAGTAGGAATAAAGAGGTAATCATATTAGTGATAGTAGCCCTCATTTATCAAGTGCTGCGTACTGTAGTCCCTTGCTCTATCCCAAGGGTTTTCAATATAAACTCATTTGATCGTTTTAGCAGTCCCATAGATTGTTCAAATAATCCAACCTCTGAACTTTAATTTATAAGTCTTTCTAATAGAAATTATAGTAATGGCCCTCAAAAGCACAGGCAACAAAAGAAAAAGGGGGGAAAATCCTCTTTTTAAATTAGATTACACCAAACTAAGAAGTTCCCGCACAGCAAAGGAAATAATCAACAGAGTAAAGAGACAACATACTGACCAGGAGAAAATATTTGCAAACCATTTGCATCTGAAAAAGGTTAATATCTAAAACATATAAGGAACTCAACCCAGCAGCAAGAAAACAAATAAACTGATTTAAAGTGGGCAAAAGACTTAAACAGACATTTCTCAAAAGAAAACATAAACAAATGGCCAATCTTTACATGAGAAAGGAATATTTAACACCACTAAATGCAAATTAAAAACCACAATGTGATACCACCTGTTGACTGGCTATTATCTAAAGACAAGATGTAAGGGCTGAAGAGAAGTCAGAGAAAAGGGAACGCTGATATTCTGTTGGTGGGAATATCAGTCATTATAAAAAACAATATACCAAAAAGTGAAAATAGAACTCCCCTATGTCCAGACATTTTAATTCATAATCTGTAAAAGTAAAAGGAATTTCAACTTGAAAGATATGGGTTCAGATAGCTCTGAATCAGTGTTCTGAGGAAAGCAGAGAAAAGGGGAGCTTAAATCTTGAGAAAGAACAGGGGCTATGTGACCAATAGAAGAAAAAGAAAAGAACACAGAAACAAAATGTTAATGTCCATAAAACTAGAGTTCATTGACCTCTTACTATGCATTTTGAGCCTTTGGGCACAATGTAAATGCCTGGTAGTTTAGGTCATTCCAGAGACCTGTGGTCAAAGGTGGAGGTAACCCTCGTTCCAGGCAACAGGGGAAATCATGCATAAGCCTGCTTCCAGAAAGGCCCCGATTCTGGGAAGTTTCTTCAGTGTTTCTTCCATTATAATTTTCCTTTCATTATTTATTTCCTTCATATGATGCAGCAATTCCTCTTATGTGAATATATCCAAAGGAAAAGAGATCAGCATGCTGAAGAGACAGCTGGATCCCATGTGCAACGCAGCATTAGTCACCATAACTAAGACAAGGAATCAACCCAAATGTCCATCCGTGGCCCAATGGGTACAGGAAAGGTGCTATATAAACATAGTGAAATAATACTCAGTCTTAAAAAAAAAAAAAGGAAATCCTATCATTTGCAACAATATGGATGAACCAGGAGGACATTATGTTAAGTAAAACAAACCAGACACAGACAAATATCACATGCTCTTATATGTGAAATTTTAAAATCAAACTCATGGAAGCAGAAAATAGAGTGGTGATTAGTAGGGATTGAGGGTTGCAGAGGGAGGAATGGGAGATACTGCTCAAAGGCTGTGAAATTTCAATTAGAAGAAGTTCAAGAGATCTGTTGTACAACACGGTAACTATGGTTAATAGCAATGTTGTATACTTGGAAATGGCCAAGACAGTATATCACAAGTGTTCTTACACACACAAAAAGTAACAATACATGTGAGGTCATGAATATGTAAATTAGCTTGACTTAAACATCCCATCTTATATATGTGTGTGTATCAAAGCATTGCACAATACACCATGAATATATACAGTTCTATTAATTTTAAAAAATAAGAACTCTTTTTAAAATTTTTTTTAAACATGTTTAATAGTGACTAAGTTCACAAAAATAACTTCAAGCTAGAGACAGGTTTTTAATCCAGACCCATTTGATTCATGATAATAAGTTTTTAACAGTTATACCAAAGACTTGTCTAGAGATTGAGAGATCCAGGATTTTTTATACACATGGCTGCAAAAAAAACTGTGCATCTCAGAACCAGAAAGGTAAAATAACATTTTCTAGTTTCACATCTATAAAATGAGAAGTTTCAACTAGGTGAGTTCTCTCCTCTGTTCCAAAATCAATGCTTGCCTTCCCCGCCAAGTAATATCCTGAATTACGGTTCAAAATCTCTAGTGAAAGAGGAGACAAATGATAGAGCTGCTAGTCCATAGAAGAAAAAGTTTGTGAACACAATCATTTTGAAGTTGAAATATCCAGTAAACCTCCTGGAAGTTTTAGCTGTGCTAATCACACACCCATCCTCTCCTCTCAGCTCCAGCCAACTGATAACAGTTAGAAAACAGGAACCAAATTAACATGATATTGATTTCTACCCCAACTTTATCACTGTAAAGTTGGAATGGAGAATGTTTTGTGACCCCCCTGCTTTCCATCTTGTTCTTTTATTATGTTAACATATTTATTGAAGTACAGTTAACATAAAATAAATAACAAGTATTTAAAGGGTAGAATTTGAAAAGTTTTGACAAAATGTACACACCTATGAAAACAAACCATGAACAGAGTCAAGACAAGGAGCACATCTGACACCCAAGAGTCTCCTGGAGCCCTCTATAATTCTCTCTCCTTCCTACCCCACCATTCCTATCACCCACCCCCACACAATCACTGGGCTACTTTCTGTCACTAGGATTAGTTGCATTTTCTAGCATGCCTCACAAGAATTATATAGAATATACTCTTTTTGTCTGACCTCTTTTGTGTTGTTTAATTCTTTTGAGTTTCTCCAGGTTGTAGCAGGTATCAATAGTTCTTTCCTTTTAATCACTGAATATTGGACTGTGTGGTTATAAAAAAAAATTGTTTATCCATTCCTCGGATGATGGACATTTAGGTTGTTTCCAGTTTGGGGATGCAATAAATAATATTTATATTACAGACTAAATGTGGCCAGATGCTTTCCTACCTAAGAGTGGAATGGATGAGTTCTACGATAGGTGTATGTTTACTTTTTTTAAGAAATTGCCAAGCTATTTTCCAAAGTGTGTGTACTATTTTAGGTTGCCAACAGCAACAAATGAGAGTTCCTATACCCTCACATCCTCAGCAACACTTGATATGGCCAAAGTTCTATTTCAGCAATTCTAATAAGGAACATCTCATTGTAGTTTTAATTCACATTTCCCTAATGACTAATGGTGCTGAGCATCGTTTTATGTCCTTATTTTCCATCCACATATCTTCTTTGGTGAAAATGTTTCAGCTGAAATGTCACTTTCTCTTGAAGGCTTTCCCTGAACACCCAGACCAGATTTGCTGTTCCTTGGTTCCTCTCCCATAGCTACAGAGGCCACACAGCTAGTTAGTGGGATTCAAGCCTAGAGAGCTGGTGCTGAGGTCCATATTCAGAATAGCTTAATTCTACTGGCCACTCACTGACTGAGTTGATTATATTTCACTCATGCCTAATAGAATAGAGTTTGTTTTGTCCTCTGAGTTTTCATAAATATAAGTCTTGATTTTCCAAAGCTTTTCTAAGGTACCCTGAGATATACCTTGTTTCCTGAGAATGACCTTCAAGACCTAGCACAAAACAAGTACCCTTCAAGATCATTCAACAAAAGACAATGAGCCCAAATGAACATATAAATTCAGATCAACCCCATACTGCCCTATAGAACAAAGGTAGCAGAGTAAGGGAGAAAAGTCAGGTTGACTATATGCCCTAGTTCTAGATCATTATGTCTTTAATAAATTGTGTGTGTGTGTGTGTGTGTGTGTGTGTGTTCACACACGCGCTCTTTGTTTTGTTTGCAGTACTAGGAATCAAACCCAGAGCTTCACACATTCTAGCCAAGCACTCCACCACTGAGCTTCATCCCTTAGCTCGTATGTGTGAGATTTCTGCAGTTTTAAGGGAAGACTATTCACAGACCTTGAAAAAGTCATAACTGGTGACTATCCTATGCTCTATATTTAATGCATGAGAACCTGAAATGCAGGAAATTGCACAAAAGAGGTCAAATTCCCATTCCTTGCAAGGAGGATGTCGTCTGTCTTCCCCCAATAAATGAAAAACTGGTTGTTATATATTTTTAAACCTCTGAACAGCACCACAGGGATCCATAAAGCCTGATTTTCTCTGATCTCTTTGTTTCAAGCCATTCTCTTTATCATGCACATAATCACCTACATAAGTGATGCCACAGATTTTGCACCCTTCCAAAAAGTGGGCACCACAGCTATATTTCCTATAAAACTGCCTGTCATGTTGCAATTAGAGGAACAATAAATCTCACCATCTCAATGACAGCCTGTGTAACTGAAACCAAGGCTCAGAGATGGCTCAGAGAAAATGGGATCTTTGACAGCATAATTTTAACACTGTCAAATTATTCAGTTTTTTTTTCTTAAAACTCACTTAATCCTTCACACACATATTACTTTTGCCATCAAATATCACATTGAAAACAGTAAAAATTCAGGTGCTTTAATGTATATTTTAAACATTTAATACAACAAATGCAAGAGATGCCATGACAAGATTGTCCTTTCACTGGAAATCTTGTGCGATAGTGCCCGTCTCAAAGCAGGACATCATAGAGCAGGGGCAGCAATTAAGTAGCACTGCTGGTGATCTGGAAGCCAGAGAGCAGGCACAGCACTGGACATGGCTTGGGGGATGTTGGACTTTTGTTTGGAGAAGAGATTTTGCCTATCCATCAATAGTCTTTTATTTTAATACTTGTTAAAAACTTAAATAAAGGATCTTGTTATTGCAAAAACAGAGATTGTTGAGCTGAAGCTCACTGGTCAGAGAAACCACTTATCTTACATAATGATGACAATGGTGGTGATGATGGTGGTGACAATAGAGTTGACATCGCTCACTCTGCAGAAGGCATGGTCCTAGGTCCTTCATACATGCTTCCCTTAAGTACCACACAGGTGAGTAATATCATTTCCCCTATTTACAGATGTGAAAATCAAGATTCAGAGTTACACAGTTGGTATGAGTCATTCCTACCCTAGCAACTACACTTGACTGCTTCCTGGCAACAGTGACCACATAATCACCTCTATACCAATGAGCTGTATCATGAGCATTTTCCCACTTTACCCCTACCCAAAAAAAAAAAAAAAAGAGGTAGATCTTTGTCTTTTCACTTGATGTGTGAGGCAATTGAGAATTACAGAGATTCATAATTTCTCCATCAAAAACACATTACCGGGCTGCTGTTGTCGTAGAGCACTTGCCTCATGCCTGTGAGGCACTGGGTTCGAGTCTCAGCACCACATAAGATATAAATAAATAAAATTAAGCTATTATGTCCATATACAAGAAAAAACAATTTTTTTAAAATCACATTGCTCCCATTATCTAATTTTTAACTCTATACTGAAATATGTCTCTGTGTATTATAGAGAGTTTAATTTCAACCATCTTCTGGAGGTTAATTTTTTTCTTATCTCTTCCAATGGCACTTGATTCCCAGCCCATCTGAGAACACATGGAGTCTTTACAGCTAGGACTTATTTGGCTTTGGTAGAAGCCTTCTGACCACACACGGCCTGTCAGTTGGCAACCATGCTTCTCTATCATGGAAGATACAGAAGCTGGGGGAGACTGCAGTCCAGGTTTCACTGGGCCTCCAGGTTTCCATGCCACTTCTAATGCCAGACATGGTCAGTTAAGCCTTTGCTTTCAGAGTCTCAAATGGATAACCCTCTGGTATAAACCATCTCTCTTCCCCATACACCTCTCACCCTCTGCTGTCCTTCCGTGGCAACCAGGGAATGCATTCATCAGAACATGTTGCTCTGCCTTTCTACCTATCTTAAATTCATTAACCCGCATCTTGGTCCGAGCAAGATGGTTTCCAGCACATTTGAACTGACTTAGTGATTAATCCTAAAACCCCAGCATTAACACTGCACTTTGCCACCTGTATGTTAACCTGTGTAAGTTAGACCTGTGTAAGTTAGCTGGGTCTAACTTCTCATATGTACAATGAGGACAGAAATACAGGAATATTGGCAGTGTGAATGGAATAATATATAGAAAATTAAAAGTCATAACAAGAATTGACCTTTAAAAAGTATTCAACAAGCATTAGATTTAGAAAGCACAGAGCAACTTGGCATCCCTTTATCAGTGTAAGGCACTAATCGAGTAGAATGCATCCCAGTCTTTTAGTCTTGAAAGTTCCCAAACCCTTTCCTTTGGGGATACTGATAGCACCTTCCACAGTTTAATGCTCCAATTATGACTTCCAATTGACTGCTTTAGGATCATCTGGGAGGCCTGATGGGGATAATTGGGGGATATACAGATTAGAGAACCTTATAGTGAAACACGTAGTTTAATAAACCAGTCAACCCCACAAGCTGCAAGCTAAGTACCTTTGGTGACTGGCTCTAATTACAAAAAAAAAAAGAACTGGCTTTGATTACTAAAGTACTCTCTAAACTGCCTCTGTTTGAGAAAATGTGCCAGGAAGGAAGGAAACCACTTCTTTCCTTTGGATCTTCGGGAATGGAATGATTGAAATTCTTTCCCCTGCAATACCACCAATCCAGGGGAAGAACTGCCCAGTTTTCTTCTGAGGAACTTAAAGAGACCTGAGTGAATGACCATGGATGCTCAACTGCTTCATGTAAGGCATTTCCTCATGACACTTTAAATGGGACAAAAATCCAGGAAAATCTCACTGATGGGCATTAATGAAAGCAAAGCCCTGACTGTAAAGCCCTGGGAAAGCTGAAATTTTTTGTAAGCTGTATTTTTTAAATGGTGCTATATTCCTACTAATCATGAATGATGCAAAATCAATACTTCCCACATTTCCTCAATGCACAGTATCTAAGCTAATCAAACTCGTTGACCAACTGTGACACAGAAGCAAGCTTCTGTACATAGGTTTTCACACCTACCTGGTCAACCTTGGGATGCTTCTCTTCACCCCCACTGAATTCACTGATGTCCATCTTCAGAAACCCAAAGAACTTGGATAGAGACTAAACAATGTTTCTACATAAAGGTTATTTACTCATTTTATAAATGTGCTAGAAAATTTATTCTCCCTATAAATTATTTAAAGATTATGCCATAGATTTCTTTTGTCTTTTCACAGCGTGATTGACTCAATAAGTATTTGTTAGTTGGTTTATAATAAATTCTTCATTAAAAATGTTTCAATATTTTAAAATAATCAATTAACTTGAAATAATTCACAATAAAATATTCTTCTCAATCCTGATCTTAACACAGCATTTTAAATCCAGAGGGGAGCCTTGAGATTCCTCATCCAACTTCCTCACTCTCTAAATGAACTAACTTAAGCTAAGGGCATTGAAGTAACTTGATTAAGGTCACACAGCTAAGAGTCAATCTGGAGCTAGGCAGTGTTATACCCTTCTCGAAACACAGCATGATACCTCAAGATCACAGTATACTTGTGATTTGGTCACAAAAGTTCAACAGAGGAAAGAAAAGACTAGGAGTTATCTGGCATGGGACCAAGTCCTTGTTCTTTAACTTGCTATGTGTCTTTGAGAAAAATATTTAACCCTTTGGTCTCAGATTCCACAGCTGCAAAGAGAAGGATGATAAAAGCTACATAATCTCACTCAGGATTTGTCAAACTGTAGCCCATAAACCAAATCCAGTGAGCACTTGTTTATATAAATAAAGTTTTATTGGCATACTCATTCATTTACCAATTGTAAATGGCTGTTTTAATATCAAAGGGGGAGAATTGAGTAACAGTATAGGAGCTGTATGAACTGTAAGGTCAAAATATATACTACTTGGCCCTTTACAGAAAAAAAAATTATTGACACCTGATCTAGTCTATATAGTGTGTGATTGTACGCATCTATTAGAGTTCAAATGTTGATGAGAAGGCTCAACTGCAAAGTGCTATAGTACATTTTTTTAAATTGCTATTCTTGATAACAATATAGTAATAGCAATCATAAACCAAGAAAGATCATGGCAATAGGTAAATTAAAATTTCCTTTGTTTAGTAAGTAGCATCTAAACAGCAGTATTGCTTAATTTAAGATTGCTTTTCAATTGTTCATATCAATGTGCTTTTGTATAACCAAGTGATAGATTTAATAAATCCCAGGAATATTCCAGAAATAATTAGATAATTTATATATAAAATACAAAATGACTGCTTTCAGAAGCAGCAACATCTGTCCTCACTTTGATCCCTAACCTGACTCACTAAGTAGTCACCATCCTGTTAGAACTACCATATGATAGGATGAATATTTACCTGGAAATTCTAACACAAATCAACCTTTGATATTTAGTTCTGTTGCTGCACATGTATTAAACTTTTCCATTGGTACTTTTGAGCAGGATTAGTGGTTCTAAGTGGTTTTGCTCTAGTTTGCACTCTGAGAATGACCACCAACAAAAACAAACTGTTATCAAAAAAGTGAGAAAATTAATCACTGGACATGACCAATTCACTATCCTTTCCATTCTTGGGCCAAGAATCAAAGGCCCAAGATCAGAAGACCAAATTATTCTCAGCAGTTCCCAAATGTGAAACCAGGAATAAATTATTTAACCATTAAATGCCTCATCTTTCTCACCAAAAACAAGAAGCCAATACCCATCTTTCTTTCCTTACTCACAAGCATCAGAGGGAGAAAATGTAAAGTGAAATAATAAAAATCATAATAAACACAAACACCTTTAAAAGCCTGAAGCTCCATGTAATTGCAAAATGTATTATGTATAAAATGAGCTACCATTTCTATAGTGTTTGCTGTATTCCAGACAGCATTCTAAGAATTCTCATTTTTTTAAAAAATATGGCATGTTATGAGTCTTTTACACACATTAGTGGATAAATCTACACAATATCCTATGATGTTGTATGGTAGATCCTACTATCATCATCACTATTGTGCATAAGAGAAAACTGAGACACTGAGAGATTAAATAACTTGTTCAGGGTCACTGTCTGATGAGTGGAGTTGCTGGAATTCAAATCCTGGCATCTGCTCTAGGGCTCACAATACTAACTGCTGCATTTTACTGTCAATCCTCTACAATGGGGCTATGGCATGATTACACTCTTGGTCTATGCTAGCCAAATAGTTCAAAAATACACGCTTCAAAGTGGGGAGATGATTGATCAAGGAAGGCTTCACTGAGGAGGGCCAAAATAGAAATTTTTTTCCCAATTGTTATATAGCACGTAGGTCTTTAGAGTAAGGGTTGGCTGGCGACCATCTATAGCTATTGGCAATGGCATGTAAAAATCATCTTGGTGCCAAGAATAATAATAGAAGGTTGTTTACTGTTTCCAATGTATAGGGCCCTTTAACCTTACATTCTCTCATTGGATTTTCATGGTCCTCTTTTGAACGTAAGTTGAAGATACTGTGATACTTAAAAATACTTCAGAATTCATCCCTGAAAATCCTCTTTTTAATCTAAGAGCATTTTCTTACATGTCTAAGGTACCGTTTTAACACTTAAGAAAAATGAGAATTCCCTAATATTATCTAATATTGAGTTGATATTCAAATTTCCCCATTGTCCCCAAAATATCTTCAATTACATTTTTTCAAATAAGAATTTAATCAAGGTTCACCCATTGTATCTGACTTTTATATTACCATGATTTTTACTTCTTTTATCTTCTCCTTTCCATTCTGCATTGTATGAGTGAAATTTTTTCCCTTTTATTCCTATCAGCTGCAAAGTTATATCAGTGCTACATTTTGTTCTTGCAAAAGGTTGCTCTTTAATATTAACATGCCTGAACCTTTGAAAAGTTTAAAGCTAATCACTAACCTCCTAACAAAATAAGGACCTTAAAAGGCCTTACCCAGAATCATACCTTGATATCTCCCATTTTATTGGCACCTTGTGTTCTAAATTTAGCTTTTCTAAAATCCTTTACATGTGGTCATAATACCTATAGTGAATATTGTGATTATACTCAATACTTACGTAGATTTGTCTGTATAATTACCAGTTTATATGTTCACAATAGTT